ATAAAACTGATTACGGGCAGAGGGAAGGAGGAAAATAACTCAACCAATATTCTCTTAAGTAAATGCCGTTTGTCTATATTTTTGCACTACGAAATTAGAATCCGCCAATGAAGCGTGTAGGTATCTTTGGAGCTTTATTGAGTACTTAAAAAAAGCATTCCTTAAGTAAAACTTTGACGAAATCTCATTTTTAGTTATTATCAGAAGACGAACAGTCAGTATTGGAACGTTTTAATTAAGAAATTCGTAAATAAGTCAAAGAATTAATCTTCATTTGTTAATTATCTTCATAAAATATAAAAAGAAACAATACGAAAAGAAACAACAGATGTTGAGGTAAAGCAAATAAACGGAAACTCATGTATCTGCAAAATTTAAAAAGACATTGAAAATATCTTAAGTTCTTACAGGCAACTGTATACTGAAATAAGTGACAAGATATATTGTGTTGCATGTTAACCTCATCTAGTCATTTTTAAATTGGGTAATTGGCCTTACATAATGCTGATGAACTTCCACAGAGAGGATGAACGATCTCCTTTCAGGACACTTTACTAATTGAGAAGGGGACGAAGAAAGTAAAAGGACAGCGGCCATTGAGGACCCAACTGTTAATAAAGATTTAGGAAGGGGATAATCGGGAGAGCGAGTTCCCTGATGAGAGGGTCAGATAAGTCCTAATTTCCATCTCCGGAGCTTAACCAGGGAAGGCGGGCTTAGGCAAAGCTCCCACTGTCCTGCTCCTCTATTTAATATAATCCAGGGCGGAGTTAGCCGATTGGTGCCGTTTAGGGCCGATAATCGGCTCTCATTTGTTAGCCAATCAGGTGGGAGGATACCGCTCGTCGCGGAGACTTGTTTGACAAGGGTCATCCTGATTGCTGAAGAGATTCTTAAAAGATTACTTTTAAAATGTTATCAACTGAAAGGTGTTTAATAATAGTTTATAGCCTAGAGTTTGTATTGTAACTTGGGCGAAATATCGTTAAGTTTAAAATATCCATTTTAAAACCTTTAATGCGTTAGAAAAAAAATCTGGTAGAGATTATTTCATATGCACGTAAATAGGGCTTCTCAACACTACCTAAAAATATTTTTAATGTCAATGTTATCAAAACATTAAAGCTAATGAAATAGACTTTTAAATTTTAATTTGTGTCATACGCATATATAATTGGGTAACACCAGATAGTCACCAATTTATTCCAATCCGTTTCTTGATTGCATTTTTAGGAATGCTATTCTAACAAGCGTGACAACCTTTGCTTTGAAAATAATAACAAACATGTTATGAAGTCATGGATGCAATTAATAATCGAAAGAAGATATAAATCATTCAATGTTATCTTGAAACTACTCTTGTCTATCATTATTTAGACAATTTTTTATTTAAAATAATCGAAAGCCACTATGCAAACAAATATTAATCAAACTTATTTAAAAAAAGATGTGTGAATACATATCGTTTCCTCTCCCAAGTGCCGGTACCACCTCTTGACCCTGTGGAAGGGCAGATCCCATCCTGCTCAGGATCATTGAAGGACCTCTCCCATCCAGGACTCTAGGTAATATTAAGTCCTGCCATTAAAGCCTTTCCCTGCCTGACCTTTAAGCCGTCAAACTTCAATCCTCCTGGTATTTTTCTTACACCTCCTTTTTTTTCGACTCCGTTTTATTTTAATATTCTGTTTTATTTATTCTTTTTTTTTTTTTTTTTTTTTTTAATTCCCAAAGATTTTTAATATTTCACATCAAATGGCGTTTGAGGTCAGAGCTTACAAATGTTACTATAAACATAAAAAAAAAAAAATGTAAGTAGAAAAAAATCTATATCTAGGTAAATAAGTCTCATGGTTTCTATAAGGTTTATATATGGTTTCTATATACAATTCGGACGTCTCACTCACTTTTAAACTTCTATACTCCATTAATGGTAATGCCAGTGTAAATCTCTGGTCCACATAGATTATGACTGTCCCACTCTCTCTCTCTCTCTCTCTCTCTCTCTCTCTCTCTCTATATATATATATATATATATATATATATATATATATATATATATATATATATATATATGCATACATACAGTTTGATTTAATAAATTAATAATGTACTATTATTCCCACCAAAATGTCTTCAAATGCAGTTGACTGTAATTGTTTCCCCATTGCTATTTGCCATATACAGATACCATAAACTGGTATTTTCTTTTTTCCTCACCGGACACAACGTATCTCAGCATTTATAAATTCCAGTTTGGTACATTTCTTTATTTTTTATATTATCAACATTTTCCAAGGAGTTCGAGGCTAAAATAGTTCAAAGAGGTTAGTTTACGTTTTTTTTTTTTAGTGTGGAAAGGTAATCATTTTTTAAATTATTTAATGCTCTTTTTATTTTCACAATCGAAGAGGCTATTTATATTATTAAACGAGATTTATTTTTTTGAAAACGCATTGTTAAAATCTTCCTTCCCTTACATACTAAAAACTTTCCCGAGATACATTCGTTCCATCTATTCCGCAAGTCTTTGTTGTTGTTGCACGTACTTTGAAAAGCCATCGACACGTGAACGCACTGATAAAATTCTTTTTATTTAATGATTTTTCACATTTTTCGGTGATTGACATATAATGAATATTAAAAAAAAAATAACTGGATCCGTGTTTCAATCGTGAATTTAAAGTCACAACTTAAATTGTGGCCAAGCGAAATCTTAATGCTTCTGACACTAATCACTAAAACCACAGCAAGACAAAGGACTAAATGTATCATTCAAGCAAAAAAGGACAAACTTAGTTACTAAAGAAACGGCGTTAGTATTAATTTAAATATCCAAAAATATTATATCACGATGTTCAGAAATCAGAAAACAAAACAAAATGGAGTATGCAGGCTGTTGAAGATGTGGAAATATCACTAAATCTACTTTATTGTATTAATCATGGATGATCTGTATGAAATGTTATCCGTTGCCTCATATGCTTCCGATAGATAAAATAAAAATATATATCATCGTAAAATAAAGACGATAACTTAGACAGAGTTTTAAAAATATTATAACAAATTATAAATTTATGTTCGTTATAGAGGCAATTCATTAGCTGTGTAGCATTTAACGGTAACTAACAAGCTGTGTAGAGTCAGTTTAGATTCTTCATTAGAGATAGGCCCAGTGTGCCTGCTATTAATTAATATTACAACTGATAGCATATTCTCCTATTCCCTTTACAATAACCTTCTGTGAAATTCCCTATCGAATAATGTACCTTGTAGCCGATTAGGTCCTCAACAAATATGGCTGTTTGAGCCATATTTTAAAAAATGAAAATAATTATTTTAAAATCACCACTTATGACGAAACAATATTTTTTACCAGATATTAGATAAATTTAGTTATAAATAAATAATACTAATAGACAAATAAATAGATAATGAAAAATAATAAAGAGAAGGATGGTTGGAATGATCAGTCAAAATAAAACCAAGGGCTAAGATTACCATTTTAGCGCTTATGTCACCTTATTTTGATTATGTTTACTTTATTATTCCACACTTTGTAACCGCTATTATTATTTTTTTCTTAGTTTTTGTTATTGTCATTATTCTATCTACTTCATTTAACTTTAATATTCACTTATCTACTTCATTTTACTTTAAGTTTTTTTTTTACCTACATTGTTTATGTTTCTCATACCTTGTTATCTGTGTCTTTTCTTAGCCATGATGAAGGCCTGTACTTCGGGTCGCAACGTCGGCAAATGTTAAAATAAATATTATTATTTATTTTTGCCACTTTTACTTTGACTGATCACCCCAACGATCCTCCTCTTTATTATTCACTACAATCAACCATCAACTCACAATTAAAAATAATAAATAAATTTAGAATTATTAATTACATGGAGTTTTCTTCAATATAACTCCATAAAACGGACTGTTAATAAGAAAGTTTGGGAACAGTGTTTTATGCCTGATATCATTCCATTAAATAAATTAACGCTTTATGAAAAAAAAAAGATCTATCATAAAAATAATTTGCATAAGTTAATAAAATATCTGTTTCTTGCATTTTTATGATTCGAGGTCATATTCCATTTTTAGAAGGTCATAGATATATGATTCTGTTATATGTTAAAAAAAAACATGTGTAAATAAACAACTTATGGATGGTCCTTTTATCTATAAGAATTATTTTGTTAATAAAAAAATCAAAACACGGACAATTTAGTTAAAGAGATTGGAAGAAAGTATAACAATTTAAATTGGAAAAAATAATTAATAATGGCATTTTTAATTTTTGAAAAACGTGATTAACACGTGAAAGGACAAAAACCGAAAAGATGGTACGAAACAATAAAGATGCAGTAGAGTGGAATGCAGATAACTGGAAAGAAATAAGCCAAAGACAGGCAGATATGGAAAAGGCAGATCAATGCCGAAAAATATTTGCAAGATATGTAATGCCAACGGAAAAAAAATAAACAACGTAACTAAAAAAATAGTAAAATCATTTCATATAGAAAATTGCAAATGATTATTTTTTTAGTATCTAAACACGTCAGAACGTATACAATATATAACTCAATCGGTAACAGTTACATCGGTAACAATTTAAACTAAAATCATTAGTTTTTATCGAAAAGTAATTCGCGGTAGCAAAGTAAAACGGACCCCAATTTTTCATCTATAGAATACTTGTCGCTAAATCGTATTTATCACAAAAAAATATTTATTTATCATGCTATATTTCAAAATATTAAGAAATGGCAAGGCAATGAATATATGATTATATTATTTGTTAAAAAAAAAAAAAAAAAACCTGTGTAAATAAACAACTTATGGATGACCATTTTATTTATAAAGAAATCACTTGTTGATAAAAACGTACGATTTAGTGAATGCAATCGGAAGAAAGTATAACAATTTAAATTGAAAAAAAAAATTCAAGATAATATTTTTAGTCACCTAAAACTTAATTAACACGTGGATGACCAAAACTAGATAGATGATTCGAAACAACAAATATGCAATGTAGCTGCATGCAGATAACTGGAAAGAAATAAGCCAAAGACAGGCAGATATGAATGATATATATATATATATATATATATATATATATATATATAGATATGAATAAATGATTATACTGTGGAAAAAGATCTGCAAGATCTGTAATGCCAACGGAAAAAAAGCAATAACGTACCTAAAAAAATAGTAAAATAATTTTATATAAGTTTCTATATGGATAATTGCAAAAGATTAATTTTTTTAGTATCTAAACACTTCGGAACATGTAATTCGTAACATACATTCTTGGAAGAATGTATGACAATTTAAATTGGAAAAAAGAATTCAATATGGCATTTTTGATGACTTAAAACACGTAATTGGCACGTGTGTGATGTCAAGAAACAATGAGGTTTAGTTGATAAACTTTATACCACAAAAACACAAAACACTTTTATTCCTCTACATATACATGACGCTATCAGAAACAAAGAACTGCTACTCTCTTGTTAACCTCACCCAAGCCAACCTGTTTCGTCTACAATAGCTAAAGTGCTGCCTGACAGCATGCATTAAACGTGAAAGGCCAAAAACTATATAGATAGTTTGCGACAACGAAGATGGAATAGAGTCGCATGCAGATAACTGGAAAAAAATAGCCAAAGATAAACAGATATTGAAAAGGCATATCAAGGCCGAAAAATATCTGCAAGATCTGTAATGTTAACAGAAAAAAAAGAAACAACGTTACTAAAAAATTAGTCAAATAATTTTTTATTAAAGTTTCAAGTAAAAGAAAACCAAAAAAAAAACCGTTAGAGTACTTTTCATAGAGCTCCTTATTGGTTTACCTTCACCAAGGACCCTCCTCAAGCTTAGGACCATTAAACCCTCTTCGGTTTTTTTCCTTTCAAATATACGGAGCCAGTTCTTCTCGGCTGTTATTGAGAACCAAGTTTCTAATTACGATTTCCATGTATGTTTAATTAAGTATACATAATTATAAATATATATTTATTTTATTTAACACTTTTAAAATTCAATTGATTTAAGGAGGGATTCATAAAGATTTATAATTTTCAAGACTAATCGATTATAGACAAATATAATAACAAATAATTGTTGCCGAGCATGAGCTACAAACCTTGCGCAGTTCCTGCAAGGGGAATCTAATCAAGGGCTAATCCATGGAATGCGCAAAGTTTTTAGAGCTGGGTCCAGGATTATCCTGGCAGAAGAATAAAGGAGTCCTTTTATAATTTCGCCCCGACCGCAGGACCTTTTATTAAATCACGTAGCTCGCCTGAACCCTCCGCCTGAGTAATTATATCCAACCATATGTGGTCTCCGAACCCCTCCGTGTCCGGCGAATTACGAATTGTGATCAACAAACGTTATTGTCGGAAACACAATTAGAATATTCTTAGCGATCCTCATTAATCAGAACAAATCCATTTACAATAATCTTATTAATTAGCAAACCTCATTGAGTACTCTCACATCAGGTTGCCATCCTCCTTCATCACGCATTCGACTTATAAGCGAATTCGGCGAAACATGATTATTCGTATATGTTTATGATGTTTTAAAAACGAACGTTAAAATAACAAGAGAGAAAAACTTTATTTTCATATAATATAAGATATGAAAGATTGCTGCCCAATCTTTATTTTGGGTTGCTATATACACAGCATACTCATTAATCCGTTGGACAATAAATGAAATTATATATAAATATACAGTAGTGGTTAGTTTATATTAGTAATATATATACATTTTTTTTTCTTCCTTCTCTCTCTTCTCTCATCTGCTCTTCTTTTTTTCTCTCTCTTTTCTCTAAAAAGGACTGCTCTCTCTCTCTCTTTTTTTTTTTTTCAATTTTTGATCAAATAAATACATAAATTAAAACTCTCAGCTTAGGCATGCATGTGGTGGTGAATGTTTCCCAGGAAGTCGAGCACTATATTCTCAGCCAACCTCGCTAAGTCCTTAATATCGACACCTAATTCCTGGAGGAAGCTCCTTGTTGTTTTTGGAATTGTTCCGCGAGACCCAAACCAGAGGCCTCTCACGCATATAACTAGAGGGGGGCCGATACCTTCTTTCCGCCTAACCACGTACCAACTCCCATTTTACAAATTATACAACTGTTCATTTAATAGTACAACCCGTTGCTCAAATAAGTATAACTTTAATTTACATGTATTCTGTAATCCAGATTGTATTATTTTTGTCAACATAAAATCAATTTTTTATGAAGATAAAATAAAAATATTTTGTAAGTATAAAAATATTTTTACTAACAAAAACAATTTTTTTAACATAATACAAATTTTTTATTATAAAAAAACATTTCTCTTATAAATTTGTAGTCTAAAATCTTTATTTTGTATTATTAGAATAAGAGGTAACATGAGGTTGACACATATGTGATTATATGAACAGTTGTATAATTTGTAAAATTATCGCCGATACTCCGACTATCTTAATATTAAAACAAAATAAAATATGAAAGTTATGGACATTTTTTTATATAATGGATGGATAACTAATTAGGTTGCCCCACTAAAATACATAACTCCAGTTTGATAGTTGCTAATAGGACACAACAATTCCTGAACTCAAACTAATCAATTATTCTTTAATTGTGGCTTGATATTAGAGGATTTAAATTTAATCAATTATTGTACTCGCTAATTTTTGTTTGGATTCGAAAAGCCTCGGTTTGTAATTCTACCACTTACTAAAAGTATAGACGTATATTCTGTGCAGAAAACAAATCCGGTTATTTTTTTTCATTTATGAAAAATATCTAAAAGTTTGTTAGTAGATTATTCGAAATGCCCAAGGAAACGTAGAACTCCTCCATTTACCTTTTCAATAGATCCTCATTTTCTTTACCACTATTTTAAACCTAAACATTTTATAAGTATCCCATGGTAACCATAGCAGTTGAGAGTCTTTTGGCGAGAATGGCGAGTTATCTCGAAAACATTGTATTTTTGGCTTTAAAAAACAGGTTCAAGGTTCAGGATCCTTCAGAGCTATACCGTGCCTTGAAGTTCACATCAAAAATTCAAACAATCCGTCGATCATTGAAACCATCTGAGTTTCGAAATTGGTATTCCTCACTTCTCCATCAAATTCTCTTTATTTTGATACCTCATTCATCAACGTCCTTCGCTCCTATGAGTTGGAAAAGGGATCTGTATTAAAGTATTAGCGTCGATTACAATTTTCGGGTCTTTTTTACTTCTCTACCGCTAATCAAATACAAACCTATTATTTCTTTGTTACTTGTTACTAACTATCATTATGTAGTTATAACCTCATTTTCAAATAATATAAATAACTTCATTATGTGCATTCTCGAACGTTTCCTTGACTTATGCACTATCCTTGATTTTTGGAGTGATTGAAGCACGTCTTAACGCAATCTTAATTCCGGAATATAGAAGATAATTGCAAAAGATTCATTTTTTTAATATCTAAATGCGTCAGAACAAAAAAAAATAAAGAACTGAATCGGTAACAATTTAAACTAAAATCATTAGTTTTAATTCAAAATTAATTTGCGGCAGCGAAGTAAAAAAAGTCCCCAATTTTTCTTATAGAATATTTTTCTTGTCGTTTATTCTCATTTATCATAAAAAATATTTATTTATCATGCTATTTCTCACAATATTAACAAATGACATATTATAATTAAAATAAATAAAACTAGTTTCTATCCCATGTATGAAGTAGAGCCATTCGTATAATGTGGAAGTTGGACTACCATAAATTTTTACATATTAGTACCATAGAGGCCCATATTTTCCATTTGACTATCCCAAAACTTTCCCTACCCTCTCTCCCTCCTAAAGGAAACGTTCAGGTGATAAAGATTACAACGGCCGAACTAGGTCGGACTGAAAGTGTCTGAGACAAATCGTTGCTGAGGGAAATTCTTTTGTCGGCGCCTATCGATGCTTTACTGAACACCGATAGGGATTTAACGCCTTGGGGGAGACGTAGAATGGTGAATCAGGAATTGAAAATAAAATTATTTTACATTTCATTTTTTTTTTTTAAATAAATGCAAGTAATATAAATATATTTTATAACCGAAATTAGTTCAATATTAGTCAACCGTTCAAAACCAAATTAATATAATGTTTATTTTGAACACTAATTTTTATGTTAGTTTATGTTGATTGTTGGTCAACATCTAAATATGGAGGTAGATTTAACTTAACGATGAGTCCATTCAGTAAATGTAAGCTACAAATAACATTTCGAGTTCCAACTAACCATGCACTAATGAACTCATTGTTCTGACAAAGCCTTAGCAACTCGAGTACAATATGACGAAATTTAGCACTTATTCCATAGTAGATCAGTTACGTACATATCCTTCAGCTATATAGCTTTTTACCCATTTATATATATAAACTGATTCAACAATAATCAATACATTAAGTGGTTAATTAGAATGTTCATGGTGATAATTCTGCCTACACATTTTGTCCAAAATTGTTAATTTCACCATAATAATTATACCAGTTAATATAAATTTCTGCAGCATTACAATATTTGGAAATGTTTTGATATTTTCTGTGATGACATTATATAATGTATTCAAAGACTAGTCAATGAGAGTAAATTCAGGATTCGTTCAAAACAATTACATCTATATCTCACTTTATTTCATGAATTCCTTTAATGATATACGGTAATATAACAGTTGAAGAAGAAGTATAAATATTTTTTACAAAAGCAGCGGATCTGTTTAAAAATCCTCAATGTAGTTTCTATGGACTCCGTTTTTTTTTCCTCTGACACATTCCGTTCGTGGCAACATTCGATTCTTGTCATTTTTCAATCTTACTTTTCTTAACTCTTTATTTCTTGGCCTTCTCTTTTTCATTTTATCTACCTTCCACCAGTATACTCATTTTTGAAACGACACTTTGCATTCTTTTTAAATATTTACACCATTCTACTCCGTTTTTTTTTTTCCAATTTCTATAAATTGGATTATTTTTAGCTTTTTACTCTCGGTAAATTTTTAACATCTCCATATTTAATGTTTTGGCATAGGTTTAGATGATTATTGATTTATTTTTTTTTATACATAAAAAACAGAAATGGGGAAAAAGATTTTCTTTAGGCCATCAAAAATCATAAATTTCTTCTCCCGCCCACTTCTATCGACTGCTGTTATATTCATAAATC